TCCACCATTTGGTGGGAAGAATCTTTGCGCTTTTTTACATCATATATATTGCATGCTAAATACATTTTTATTTGTATCCTTGTGATATTCCTCGCTTATAAAATCCCACAATTGAAGCAATTTTCAATAAAATTTAATGAGGACACCTTAAATCAAGGATGGAGAAACTCTAATCTCCTGACCATACTTGATTTAATTTTAATTTTTTTTTTGGGCCATCCTGCGCGAAGGTTGCAGGATATTTGTTGACATTTTTTTCTCAAATGGAAGAATGTCTCCAATCCTAGCGATTTTACGTGATGCGCTGCTATAAAGGTTGTATATTGAGTTCAGATAGGCAAACAATAATTTTCTTCATCCTCTTTGAAATTTCCAAAAAAGTTTTGGTGGCAGGTTACAAAATGGCGTTGCAAGTGGTATTTCGTTTTGGAAAAATTCAAAATGGCGGACCCAATATGGAGAAAAAAATTTATATCGATGAGATTCGCTTAAAACTTTACAAACAACGGTTCTTAAGGCCTCTGATTACGAATTTAAAATCATATCAGGCTCTTATTAACGTGTTACTCAATGAGAGACCCTCAGAACCCTTGATTGTAAAGTTTTAAGCGAATCTAATCGATTTAATTTTTTTTGTCGCCATATTGGGCCCGCCATTTAAAGTTCTTCCGATCTAACTTCAGATTCTTAATCACGAACCCTGAAAATACCCATGGAAAACATTTCAAGCGATTTTGATCGAGCTAATTTTTTTTTGCTCCCATATTATGACCGCCATCAAGCGGATCGAATCGTTTTTAATTTTTTGGCCGCCATGTTGGATTCGCCATTTGTAATCAGCAACCTCAAAAAGATGAGAATCTGCTTCTTTCTTACACCCTTATTCTAGAACCCGAATTTTCGTAATTCGTACGAAAAACGAAAAATCGACATGCTGCAACCCGTGCGGGAACATGTGCAGCATTGCAGCTATTAGTTGTTTTTCGAAGTCAGCAGTATGAAGGAAAATAAACAAAACAATTGCGAGTTGTCGACTAGTAGTAGATAAACGATTGTTAGTCGATTATCGAATATCCGTGGTATTTTCAAAGTCGCTTTCTCGTCCAATAAGTGCGTGTGAATTGAATCACGGTGGAGAGAATACAGAAGGTGGCGCCGATGGCGATACCGCTAATCGGCTCTCAGTGAATTTGACAGAATCAGCTGTTTTGCTGACGTCACAGTAGAGATGACAGCAGTAGCGATGCGCTGAGTCAATACTTTTCAAGTATCCAATACTCTTGATACTCGGTACCGAAACATTTAGGTTTCGAATAAAAGCGCACATAGGCCAAAAATATGGGAAAGCCGGTTCAGGGGAGACTCGCTTATCAAAACCCGAATGTAGGAGCCAATAGAGCTTTTAATACTGATTCAAATGAAAGATGTATATATGTCGGTTCGACGCCTTAATAAAGAGAAACTCTTACTAGTTTGAAGCATTTTTGTTGCAGCTGAGTCGGACGATATCATTTTAGTAGGCAGACTCTGTAACCAGTTAGTGACAATTTTCGAATCGGTATCGGTTTTGTTGACGTATATGAAATATTTTTACGCCAACAAGTGCGATATTGATCCGAAACTTGTCGCTAACTGGTTACACAATTTTGAGATTTCTCGTGAATATGAACGCCATAATTTTTACCTAGCTCGTGGGACTACGCAAAATTTTGACAGTTGTAAATATGTATACACAAAGTTGGCGGTAATAAAGAGTCAAAATCAAAATGGAGAAAAGAACAAAAAGCGTACGTTAGTTGTCAGTTATAAAATAAATAAAATTTTTTTGCGAATATTTGTTTATTCTATTTATTGAAAGGCAACCGCGCGGAAAAGCTTGTGTTAATTATATTGATAACAGAACCTGGCGAATCGCACGTTGTCTAAATTCTCAAGTAACATCAAATCCACAAAAGAATACATTGCTTGTATTACCATCAATACGCCATGTATAAATTTTAACAACACACAAAAATAGAGCTTTTGCACGAGCGTTTGTTTGGTTTTTCAACACCATTTATAATTTTCTTTTAATAAAATCGCGATTTGTCAAATGCTTAAATTTATTTATCTAATAATAATGCCACACACAACCCTGAAATCTAAACAAAAGTCTGAGGAAGGCCATTAAATAGCAGCATACAACCCAGTGCCTTCCTTAAGGGTGAATAAAGCTACAGCAACAGCGATTACTACAACAACAACCCAAAAAGGTTGGCTAGTGTCTATACTGTGCTCATCGTTCTACAAGAAAACAGTTGTAGAAGGATGAGCGATTAAAAACTAGAGTTGGGCAAAATTTATTCGAATTACGAATAACAAATGAATAAATTGTTTTTCTCGTTATTCGTAAATAATAAATTACTTGGTTTATTCAAAGAAAAATTATTCGAATGATGGATAAATTATTTTATTCGTTATTCGAATAATTATTATCTTCATTAATTATTCGAATAACGAATATAATAATAAAACAAAAAAAAAACAAAAACCAGCTTTTGGATATTTTAAAAGTGGCGAATTAGCAAGGAAAGTTTCGACCACATCCTTCCAAGAAAGACCACGGTTGGTATATCAATGGTCAAATTTGAACGTGCGGGAAAACTTTTCGTCCTGTGAAACATCGAGAATTTTTGGCTATCCTATAATAGAAAACGCGCATCTGTGGTCTTCAGCTTCCTTATAAGGACTTTTGTTGGCTTACATGACATAAGACTAGAGGTTGACGCATCGGGCCAATCTTGTAGTTGCAAGATCAAAGAAGAAGATTAGATTACGCACGCCTAGACAAGATCTCACAGGTGGAAATAAGACCGTCGATAAAGCTTATGACATCAAAGGGGGTTTGTTGCAGAAATATGTGTGAGAAGGGTTCCGCTTTTTAGTTGTTTCAACTTTACCCATATTGGCATTTTAACGCAAAAGATCTTATCAGGGGCCGCGAAACAAGCGCTAGTATTCTTGATAAAATAGTTAACAGAATTCAACTAACTCACAATCCTTGACAATAGAAATAAAAGTAAAACGTTGTTCAGTGTGTTATAAATCAATTTTTAAAAATATTTTATAACGAATAAAATCACGAATAATTTATTCATAAGCAATTTATTCACGAATAATTTACTACGTTTATACGCACGTATTATTTGCAAATAACAATTTGCGAAATGGTAAATTTTGCCGTATAGACGCTGAGTTAATTTTTTATTTGCAAATAACTAAATCACGCAAATAAGTATTGATTAGTGGTACTATTTGCAAATCAGCGCAAGACGCCGCCATTCTTAGGTTTATTTTCTTTTTCGATGGTCATCTTATTGTCTTTTAATAATCAAGACGTTGCCATTTTTAACTTCATTTTCCTTTTCGATAGTCATATTATTGCCTTTTTTATAATCAGGCAATATTAAAAACGAATTTTTCACCATCGAATAAACAGTGAGTTAGGTATTTGCAAATTATTTTTATTTGCAAATAACTTACGTATAAACGTAGTAATTCATTCGTGAATGAATTAATTGCGAATAATTATATTACGGATAAAATTTTATTCGAATAATTATCTAAATAACAATTTATTCAATACAATATTCAATACAATGCCCAACTCTGTTAAAAACTATTCACAGTCGCTTATTGAACGAGAAATCGACATTCACAATACCATGGAAAGGCGATAATCGAATAAGAGTCGTTTATCTACTACTAGTCGACACTCGCAATAGGGGTGAAAGTGGAAAGGAGTTAAAAAAACACTCATCAAGTGCTTATTTATAGGAAACTTGTTTGATTTTACTTATTTGAAGAAAATTATGGATTCTATGGCATTTGCAGTTATAGCAGCGGAGTAAGAGCGCGTTATGGAAATGAATTCACAATTCGTCAATTTGCAAAAGGGATTGCTCAAAGGTTAATGCGGCAAAAAAATGGGAAGAATTTACGCAGGAACTCAATTGTTTAGGACCACCTATACGAACGACGGCAAAATGGATTAAGGTGAACTGCGTCGTTTTTGATTTCTGTATAAATAAATTTTAGTTCTGGTCTTTTCAGGTGTGGGCTGACATGAAGTCCAAAACTAAAAAGAAAGTAGCGCAAAACAGCTGAATACCGAGCAACAGGTGGAGGACCGAACAGGCTACAAGCAAATACAAATATTGAGGAGGCCATAATTGGCTTGCTTGAGCTTGACGCCTGTGTGAATCCACCGGGAGCAGAATTCGGCCTGGATATAACTGCCTAGATTCGGTAGAGGCGGCTCCATCAGATGAAAACCTGCAACCAATATACAATTAAGGATTGAGCGATGAGGACCACGATTATGCAGTTCCGGAAAATACAGCACGGAAACCAAGAGCAAGAAAGTGCAACAAGACAGAGAAGAGAGGCTGAAGTTGCTGGAATCACAGACCAATGCCCAGAAAAGGTTCTATGAGGAGATGGTTACAAATATAAAGGACATTAAAAAAAGTGCTTTAGAAACTGAAAAGTACACGAGAAAAATGTATTACTTAAAAAAAGACAGCAAAAGAACTTTTACAATTGAAAAGAGAAAAATTACAAATCTTCAAAAATGAAGTTCTTCAAAGCCAGAAGGATCGGATAGCAAAGCTACAACTAAAGGTTGCGCTTTTGGAGGTAAAGAAACAAATGCTGCCAAGAACATAATTTTATATTAATCTAAGTGCCTAAAATGAATTGGACGTTATTAATTTTTTTATATAATTGGAATTAAGAAGACTGTTTAACTTTAAGATAAATGAATTAATGAGCTATTTTTTTCTGTATGATGAATTTAGAAAGACTGTTTAAACTTAAATGTATATTAAAATAAGGAAATGAATTTGTGATAATTTTTTATGTAATGCACCTACATACATGTGTATGAAACCAAAAAGGTTTTTAGTTTAATAAAAGAAACTCTGGCGTAACTGGTTTTTAATATTTTTTAATCATGTTTTCTATAATGGTCTTAAAATTTCATTTCTTATGTCTTCTGCTTGTGAGTTGTCAACAGGTTCCACTTCAACGTCTCCGACATCATCGTCATAAGTCACATTTGAAAACTCCTCCTCATCGGGGATTTGTACATTATAAAACAAGCAAATGTTGTGCAAAGCTGCACACACATTTATAATTTGTGTTGCTTTTTTT